GCTCTCGTACTGTGTTTTCTGAGGTTATAATAGGCTATTGAAATAATGCATCATAATTTAAAATTAAAAGTTAAAACAAAATGACTAATTTCCAGAATTGTACCCCAAAAGTCTGTAACAAACCAGATTTTCTTTATCAGATTCTCAGTGATTTGAGAATATACATTTCAGCCAAGATCAAAATCTAAAATAAAATCTTAGGCAAGAAAATGCTTTACAGAGTTCAAAACCCTAGGGAAATGCTAGCATTCATTATCATTCATGTGGATTCTTGGGTTTGCAACTACTCAATGTCTCAAATTACTGATCAAATATTGGCTGAGACTAGGGTCTGGTAACAGAAAAATTAAGTGCAGAAAATTGTCAAAAACTTCTTTACATAAAACACTCATTTCCTATAAACTGTCTAATGGAATGGGTGACAGAGCTGCAAATGAAGGCTACACCAAGACACTCATCTCTTAAAAATATATTCTTATATTTGTTCATTACATTCATTCAGAAAATATTTGTTGAGTAATTTTTTGGTTCTAGGCAGCTGGAGATACTATAGAGCCCAAGACAGATGTTGTTCCTGTTGCTGGAGAGATTAAGTTCTCATAAATGAGGCAGAGGATAAATAAATATACTAATAAACAAATAATCATTCTTTTGAAGGAAATTAAGAGTGAGACAAGCCAGAGAATTACTAAAGGCAGGGTTAGGAAAAGTGACTTTAGACAGGGTAAGCCTAAAAGACCTACCTGAAGAAATAACATTCGAGCTGACTAAAAGATAAACAAAAACAAGGAAAAGGTTCCGGGCACAAAAAACTTACAGAATTCACCAGCAGGTACACATTTCCAAAGAAACAATGTAAATATTCCTTTTTCTCTCCTAACATCTTCTGGATACTTTCAAGTCTGCTTTCATTGTTATGAGAAAGCACTTCATGAGCTTCCTTGAGAGCATCACACACCACTCCTGACTCATCTTCACAGCCCTGGTACTTCACACAATGCCTTCACATAGTGGGCACTCAAACGATGTATGAATAGGTGAATGCAAGGTTAACCCACATGAATCTGGAAGGTTTCCTAAAAGAAATTTAAAAACTTAGGTTCAGGATGACATCAGCAAAAATGGCAGAGAAAGTAAGGAATCCAAAATCTGCCTCTTTAAAACTAATGAGAAATCTGGTAAAAATGGTTAAATCAATTTTTTCAGAACTCTGAAAATTAACCAAAGGCTTGTTGTAGCAATTCGGGAGTGTTTATCTAAAAAAAAAAAAAAATTGGATAGCTATAGCTCCATAGTAACTTTGAAAACCAACAGCCTGCGATCATAGAGAAAACCAGCCACTGGAGCAGGTAGAACAGGGTTGGAACTACCTCATTCTTAGAAAATTCACATTAGCTAGCTTGTTTGGCAGCTCCATGAAAAATCCCACTGCAAGACTGTCTATCTGACCTAACCTGGAGCTTCCCAGTGAAAAAGTCTTTTCCTCAGGGGTTTTGGTTAAAAATTTTTAAAGATAATTGTTTAACTTTGCAGCTACCTGAGGCAGTAGGTAATATTTGAGATAAACAATAGGTAAACAAAAAATATTAAAATAAAGAGCTAGGAAATGAGATGTCCTAAGTGCTTTGAAGAGGTCCAGTGCATTGCTGAAAATATTGAAGGCCATGTACTTGTGTAGGGTTGAACAAAAGCTCAGAACTTTACTCATGCTCGGGAAAAACCTGAGAAGGCCCCAAGGTCTCACTAATGGCTGTCTTTGAGGTTCTGTACAAGCAGGTAGTGAAAGCTAAGGCAGAGTTGTCAACTATCTGGCCGAGGGGTGAAGGCATGCCTCAACATGCACACAGGACCCATAGGCAAAGAATAGATTTGTTGGCTCTTCGTGTAAAGAAATCTCTGTCCAAGTATTAGCTGACCACTAAACTAATCAAGCAGAGACATTAGTGGCTACAAATGATAAAAAAAATACTAACTTTACAGAGATAGCTTTGAAAAGTCACTAAACAAATAAGTAATAAAAATAAGCTGCGATAACAATAAACCCTGAGGAGAGAGGAAAATTTGATTTCCAGAGCTTCCACATTATAATATTTAAAATATCCAATTTTCAACAAAAAATTACAAGACATGCAACAAGAAATATGAAGTAAGACATGAAACAAGAAAATATAGATCATACACAGAGAAAAAAAAGCAAGAAATAGAAATGGTCCCTGAAGAAACCCAGATGTTGAGCTTACTAAACAGACTAGATATTTTATGTATAATCAAAGAACTAAAGAAATCATGCCCAAAGAAATAGAGATTATCAATAAAGAGATAGATAGAAATTATAAGTAATGATTAGAACAGAAATAAATGAGAGACCAGAATATTGATAGAAAAAATAAGTCAAACAAAATCAATAAAACCAAAAGTTAGTTATTTGTAAACAATATTGGCAACCTTTTAGCTACACTGACCAAGAAAAAAAAAATGGAAAGGACACAAATCACCAAAATCAAGATGGGAGATGTTTTCCTCGTGACTTTACAGACATAAAAAAAGATTATGGAGAATACTATGACTAAACGTATGCAGTTAAATAAACTAGATGAAATGGGCAAATTCCTAAAAAGGCACACAACTGACTCAAGAAGAAAAAGATAATCTGAACAGGCCTGTAATAAGTGGAAGGATTGGGTTAAAAACATCAAAACAAAACAAAACCTCTCACAGCGAAAATCTCTGAACCAGATTACTTCACTGGTGAATTCAACCATACAGTTAAACAAGAATTAACATCAATTCTTCACAAACTCTTCCAAAAAATAGAAGAAGGAACACTTTTAAAATCATTCTATAAAGCCAGAATTATCTTGATACCAAAACCAGACCAAGACATCACAAGAAAACTATAGACTAATATCCCTTATTAATGTAGATGTGAAATTTTTCTCAACAAAATACTAGCAAACTGAATCCAGCAATATATAAAAATTATGCTTAATGTGAATTATACACCATGACTAAGTAGAATTTATCCCAGGAATACAAAGATAGTTCAATATCTGAAAATCAATTAATGAAAAACATCACAATATAAAATAAAACATTATGTTAAGTGAAAGAATCCAGACACAAAAGACCAGGTAAACAGTAGCTTCTACGCTTACACTTGTTTTATAAGAAAGCTGGGCAAATGCTTGTGATGGATTCTAAGGGCGAGTTTTGAGGCCCGAGAGATGTATTGTTAGAAATTCACTAAGGACTTCTCCAAAATGGAAATGGTGATCTTGTGATAGAATAGAGCATAAAAATGGGAAAACTGCCGTATTGAGTCAGATTCTTCTTCAACACACTTTAATGTTCTTTCTTCGACAGGATCCTTTGTATGGGCACACAAATATCTTCCTCTTACAACATCTAAATTACTGAACTGCTAAGACATCTTAAGCATAAATTGATCTGAACTGTTTTTATATACGTATGGCAAAAATTGTTTTACATTTATTTTTATAAATTGTTTTCAATTCTACAAGAGTCATAAACTGAAAGCACTGATATAGTAGAGCTATTGTACTCATACTACTATTCGAAGGAACATTCTCTGCCAGAGGAGACAATAGGTTCTAAAAATAAAGCAGAATATGGAGAAAGGGGAAAGGTTTTATCTTTCTCCATTAGAAATGTGTTCAAGAGTTCAAGATTCAAGCATTGTAGAAATTTAGATTAATGCGATACTTGTATTGTGGCCTTGGGGTCAGATAGGTTTCCCGCATTACCTCTACCATGACCATCTGCACCTTTTTGTTTCCTAAAGACCAGGAATTTGGAGAGCCTTAAGTCAGGAGAAGGCTCTGGTAAGGAAATAGTAAAGGAGAATTTGTGACAATCAAGAAGTCATTCTTTGATTGACCTATAAAGTAATTTGTAGACATGCAGGCATGCACATTTCCATTAGCTTTGTAGATGTAAGCTCCATAAAGGCAAGCAGTCTTCTCTTATACTCACCATTGTATCTCCAAATCTAATTTGTTAGCACTGTTGGTACTCAATGATTCTAATGCTCACCACATTTCTATGAGATGAGATCCAGCATCTGCTGATTTATACTCAAGGCTCAGAGACAGGGTGGCTCAGATATTCATGTTGGTCAAGCCAATTTGCCTTTTGGTTTAATACAGTAAGAAGCAGTCAAAAGTAAATTAAAAATTCCAAATAAAATATTTTCAGCAATGATGGAGAGGAGCGATAACTGTTAATTGGCATCGTAACTTTTGTCCTATTATATTGTTTTCTTGCAAGAAAACCAAGTCATTTGTTATTCTTTTTATATCAGAACATACAATTTGACATATTAAGGTTTTTTTAAAAATCTACTCTAAAAACAGGTCAAATTATGATGAATAAACAAGTAATTTAACAGTCTTCATTCAAGCTTATTTATGTTTTTTAAAACAGATGACAACTGAAGAGCTTGAATTTGAACTGAAGAAGTGAAAGGCAGCAATCCCTAACTGCAGTTCTAACTTGTGAAATCTTTAACTATAACTTTTAAAATAATTCCTTTTGTGATAAAATGTTACCTGATTTCCATACTTAGTGAGTACTATTATGTAATATATGCATTATGCACCATATTATTTTTATAAAATCTGGAAAACCTTGAATTGCAAAACTGTGGACTTGTAGCTAAATTGAGATGAGGAGCCAAGACATTAGAAGAAAAAGCCCTGCACATTATGTGGGGAAGTTAGGCAAATCACCATCTCTCTAGCATTTATTTCATCATTTGGAAAATAAGGGAGTTAGGCTAGATGACCTCTAAAATCCTTGACAGTAATTAAATTCTAGGGTTCTACCTGATCAATTTATATTCTGAAACACATAACAAATTATGTTCAATTTTAGACCACGTTAAATTTCTACAAAATTATGGGCACTTCACTTTGTCTGTGATGTGTGACTCATATTATTAGATGTCTCTTCGATTATGTAATTTAATTCAATTTTAGTACCTGCTGTGCCAAACACAGATGATATGCCTTCCATAATGGTCCTGTGGATGTTGGGATGAGAGAGGACAAATCCAAGTGTCCAAAATGCAATCTTAAGAAGAAAAACATATATCAAAAAATACAACCTTCTTTGAAAGTGAACAATAGCAAACTTAGCATTAGCCATACACTGTTAAAAGAAACAAGGGAAACGTTTAAATTTAATTTAATAGTATGTTAGTAAAGAGCATTTTTGAAAACAACTAGATTTTACGAACAAAAGTGATGTTATTTACCTCTAAGAGGTCCAGTTTATAATTTTATTCTGTCACTACAATTTCACTAATTGTTTACATACATTAAACTATCTTTACTAAAAAACGGGAAAAGTGGGATAATTTTTACTAATATACAATATAAAATATTGTATAGGCATACATTATATATTTAGAAACAACAAATTATATTTAAGAATATTAATCTAAATCCAACATTTTATATGATTTAATTATCTTTAAATACAAATGAATTAGAAAATCATGTATTCTGCAAATGAAACATGGTAATTAAGCCCCCAAAACTATACTTAAAATCTCATAAACTAAAATTTGAAAGTACTCAATATAAAAAATAGTGTTATTTCACAGCGTATGGAACACAGGGTGCTTTCAGGTTCATAAGGTGTGAATGTTGTATGCTTGCAAATTCTCTCTCTACACCAAACAAAAGTATTTCAGATCTTTCCTCAGTGTAGTATTATAAAATAAAATTATACTGCTACACATCTCAAAATTTAGCTTTCCACTAACTCAGGTAAATGTTTTCACTTCTACTTTTAGGTTATACAGTAAAAGAAACCCGTATAAAATCATTAAAAGAAGCTCGGATTTCTCTTTCATTTTTTTCAGTAAATATGTATTGTGAAAGAAATTTCATCTAGTAAAACTCGTCCTGAAATGACTACTCACTCCGACAACAAACACTTTGTATAATTTAAGTCTCTTTGTCTCTTTTGTGAAGTAATTTAGGTACCTTAAAATAATCCCAGTACTCCCCTCTGTGGTCAAAAGAGGAAGAGCAATTACCTGAAAGGGAAGTGTTCCCACAAAGCCAAATTTTGCTTATTGTTTTCCCCTCTGTGACAGTAAACTGATAGTGCAAGAATAAATGTGGTAAACCAAGGCCACTACAGTCCTGCTCTCTGTGGAGTTTTTCATATCTCAAAAGAATTACCCTAGAGATCTTTTAGTGTATTTTTACAGAAATAAGATGCTCAGAGAGCTCTCTTCTGTATCTCCACTCAGGCCATTTCTACTATTATATATAGATGGAAATGCTGAACTATGGTATTTAATTAATAATCACTCCATACTCAATTAAGCTTCTTAAAGAGTCAGAGATCATGTTGGGGCCGGGGGCGGGGGAAGAGCAAAAATCTTAGTAGTATTACACCGATTTTTTAGTTACACAAAAGAGAGATTTGGAGTTTTGTGTGCTTAATAAGAGTTTGAGAGATCCACTAAAATTGGGTAATATTTATTTTTATAGCAAACATAAAGAATTTAGATAAACTTTAAATGCCTGTATAATGGTGCTAGCTCTCATTTTTAATGCCTCTTTTCTTAACAGATTTCACTTCTAAAAATCTATATTATTTTTGACTTTAGAAAACCAAATACATTTTTAAAATAAAAGGCAGATAAAATAGAATAAAAAATAAGAAGTTTATATACCTTACTGAATCAACAAACAGGAATAAGTGACCTTGAGGTCTTTGTACAATCACATTTGGAAAAAGAGTTAAAAACTGCTCCTAAAGGTACCAATTAATATTTTGCCAAAGGTGTCGGTTAAGTCCGTGGTGAAGGCTAGGCAAAAAAGAGAAGAGCCACCTGGCTCACTGAACTTCAGAAGCAGCCACTACAAAGTCTTTCCATTGTTTTGGAGAGGTGATAAGGGACAAAGGTGATGAGGGACAGAGAGGAAAGTTGTGCCTTGCTGTATCATAGAGAAGATGAATTGAGTATGTTCTTCTGCATCACTTAGTCCTACATTCAAAAAAAGATTTAACAAATATTGATGGAGTCTATAACATGTCAGATAGTCTTCTACAAATCACGGTAAACACAAATTTGTGTACGACATAATTCCTACCCAAAGAGCTTTCACATCCAGTTGCAGATATGAGATATACTCAGGAGGAAAAAATATGCTAAATGTAGAGGGAATGGGAAGCACAGACAATAAATGCTGTGAGAGTTGAGGGTGGGATGGGATCAGGATGGGTAACTACTGCAAGTGTTTAGAAAGAGCTTCAGAGAAGCAAATAAAACAAGAAAATTGTCAGCTTTGACATTAGACTTGCAAAAATGTTCTTGAAATGTTCACTTGACAATAAGAAATTTCTTGGAACTTGGAAATGGTTTCCCCATAGACATAATTTCATAAATCATGGTTAATATCTTGGGCCAGTCCACCAAAGTTCACCTAGGCCATAATGGAGCTCCCTAGTGCCCTGTACTAAGCCCATATGAAGTCTGAGCTCCGAGTTCCATGGGCCTTGAGACAGAACAAAGAGTAGGAGAGAAGCTAAGAATATGATCTGGGTACCAAGAAAGGTCAGGCCCCACCACCTACACCTCTGGCAGGATTTTTAGTGGCTTTCTTGGCAGCAAAGGGAAATCACAGAAACCAGGACATCAGTGGCCACTCCTACCCTGGGACATTTACGTGGTCAAGTTTTGGAAGCCAGGCTGTTTATTACTAATTCACTATAGAAAATAATGATTGATTGAAACCATGGCTTTACTTTTTATAAGAGAAGAAAGCTAACATTTATTGAGCACCTATTTTGTGCCAGGGACTGTTAGCCACTTTCCATTTATTACCAATATAATCCTTACAACTATGAGGTACACAGTAAACCTATGTTATAGATGAGAACACTGAGGATCAGAGAGGTTAAATAATTGGCCCACTGTCACTCAGCACTAGGATTTGGCTTGACCTGAAGCCTTTCCAGGGTCCCTGCCCACACATCAGCTGCCTCTTGGAAGTGCCAACAAGAGCCAGGGAGATGGAACTTTCACTAATCATCAGACACTTCCTTTCTGAAATTAATAATTTAAATCCTTTCAGACCAGTACCAGGAACGAATTCCAAAGAATTGACTTCCCCTGTGTCAGATCAATGGGGCTTTGTGTTCCTTTCTTCCAGGGACTTTTCTAATGGGATCTTGAAAATTAATCCTGTGACAGGAATGGCTGTTTTGTTGCTGCTTTGGGAGTTGTTTTGATGTTTGCTTTTTAATTTTGCTATAGCTTAATTCATTTCCAAGAAAACTATGTAAGGAAAAATCAGAAGTTAATATTAGTGGCTCATAAAGAAGAAAAGATTAGTTAGACTAATTTTTTCTTGCACATGCCAGATGAAATATATATTCTAGTGGTTGACACACATTAAAGAGGTCAGAATTTCTATTTCTGTTCTTTACCCAGTAAGTTTTAAAACAGGTTAAAGGAAACTAAATTATTGGTATTTAGAAAACTTTAAACCCTGCTCTTTATAAGAGGAATGAGAAATAAATAATATTTAAAACACCTTCTCTTTGTTAGAAGAAAAAGAAGAAAAATGACCACATTTATCATTAGAGATGGTCTGCATGTTCCTGTTTAGTAGAAAACAAATATATAAAAAAGGTTACCCTTTAATTTCTCAGATAATACAAGTGCAGCTTAGGCTAATGTGAAATCTTCCTGACACAGGAAACCGTGTGCATCGAACATGAAGTGGCAGACAAATCTCGTGACTTTAATCTAGTTGAGAACAGCTTTAAAAAAAAAAACAGTTAAAAAGTCTCCGCTCTCTTTAGTAGTATTGTGGTTCCAACGTCACCAGCTCCACTCATGGGGAAGCTTACAGGACAGAACATCAAGCAATGCAAATGAGAATGATGCACAGAAAAATAAGAATACAGAGGGAGACAAATAACTGATACTCATCAGGTACCAGCTAGGTTTATCTCAAATCCTCACAACGACCTTGTAGAGAAATGAGAGTTACTTATTAATAAGTACCCAAGTCCTGGGACCATACTAGGAGTTTCATTATCCCTTTTTTACTGTAAGAAAATGGAGGCTCAGAGTTTAAATTACCTTCATGAGATTCTATAGCTATGACTGGGGATATCTGGATTCAAGCCCAATTCTATCTGAAACTATCCATTTACCTACTCTCTCCCCAATAAAAGTTAAGGGTCAAGCCTTATTCATCTTGGCAGGACCAATACTGAAAACATTGCCTGACAAAGAAAGTACTCCATAAGCAAGTATTGTCATAACTGACCCCAAAGTGCAAGCTTTTCCCTTAGCCCATGATATGCTGCATTTCAGAGACAGAATTAACTTCAGATCTCTGCTTTGCCTCCTCTGTGATCTTATCAGATTTCATTATGCATCACTTTTGTGTTTCTATCTTACAAACAACTCCATTGCACTCTTTTTCTTCCCCCAAAATGAGTGAAAAGACTGAAAAAAAAGAAAGAAAAATGAAGAAAAAAATTAAAAGTTCATAGGCAGACATGTAACTCTTACTTTACTAATATACTTACAGTGACAGCATTGGACAAAGAAGCCCAAAGTAGTAGAAGCCCATAATTTGGACTTTCCTCATTTGTTTCCGTCTCTATGACATTCAGCAAATCTTGCATTAATGTCTGTTTAAAAGAAATAAATATTTTCAAACCACAGCTATGTGACAAAGACTGATGTTACTAAACAAAAGACCATGCGTTTCTCTTTAATCTGAAAGATATTATTTCTGCCATTCAGAGGTTAGCAGTTTGAGTCGTGTTAAGGGATTTACATACTTCTCATAGTAATTAGGAGTAGGAACTCTGGAGGCTCAACTCTTACTGTATTGGTTCAAAGCTTGCCTTAACTTTTTTTTTTTTTTTTTAGACTTTATTTGTTTAGGTTTACAATAAAATTGAGAGGAAAGGACAGAGCTGTCCCATATAACCTCACCCCCAACACATGCATAGCCTTCTCCATTATTAACATCACTCAGCAGAATAGTACATTTTTGACCAAGGACAAACCTACTTTGACACATCATAATTACCTAAAGTCCATAGTTTACCTCAGGGTTCACTCTTCATATTGTACACTCTATGAGTTTGGACAAACGCATAATGACATATATCTATCATTATAATTCAGTCACATACTGAAAGGCATCTTGGTTGCTTCCAAATTTTGCCATTTATGAATAAAGCTGCTATAAGCACTGTTTTTGCTACATCCCAAAATTTGGTAGGTAGTGTTTTCATTTTCACTTATTTCAAAATATTTTTAATTTCTCTTAAGATTTCTTTTTTGACTCACGTATTATTTAATCTCCAAGTGTGTTGTTTAATCTCCATATGTTTTGGGATTTTTCTTTCTGTTACTGATTTTTAGTTTAGTCACATTGTGGTCTGAAAGTAGATATTATATGATTCTCAGTCTTTTAAATTATTAAGGTATATTTTATGGCCAAGAATGAATAGGCAGAGCATAAAGGATTTTTCAGGGCAGAGAAAATACTCTGCATGATATTGCTTAGAAGGAAATTTACAGCATTGAAGTATATATTAGAGAATAAGAAAGATCTAAAATCAATAATCTAAGTACCTTAGGAAATTGAAATAGAAGCAAATTAAACCCAAAGTAAGCAAAGGAAAAAGAAATAATAAAAATTTGAGCAGAAATCAATGAAACTGAAAATAGGAAATCAATAGGAAAAAATCAATAAAATCAAAAGCTGGTTCTTTAAAAAGATCAATAAAATCAATAACCCTCTAGCCAGGCTAAGTGAGAAAAAAAAGAAAAAAGACAGATTAGTAATATCAGAAATTAAAGACAGGACATCATTACAGAGCCCATGAAAATTTAAAAGATAAAAAAATACTGTGAATAAATTTGCCCATAAATTTGATAGTCTAGATGAAATGAACCACTTCCTTGAAAGACACAATCTGCCAAAACTCTCACAAGAAACAGATGATCTAAATAGGCCCATATCTATTAAAGAAATTGAATCAATAATTCATAACTTAACCAAACAGCAAGTACCAGGCCCAGATGGGTTCACTGGTAAATTCTACCAAACATTTAAGAAAGAAATTATACCAATTCTCTAAAATCTCTTTTAGAGGATGGAAATAGAGAACTTCCAAACCTATTCTATGAGGCCAGCATTACCTTAATTCCAAAGCCAACGACACTGAAAGAAAACTACAGATGGCTATCTCTCATAAATGTAAATGTAAAAATTCTCAACAAAATATTTATCATGTATTTGCCTGCTGGTCTCTCCAGTCTTGGGGGTAGTGGTTTGCCCTGTATCCTCTCTTTTCTATGGTGGTTGATTTTTCAGTCTGTTCAGCTTTTTACTTGTTAGGATGAAGTGGTGACTTCCAAGATTCTTCCATGTAGGACTGGAACCTGGCTAAGTTATTTAAGAACTGGGTAACCAGTTTTCTTAAGAACTGAGAACTTTAAGCTCTCTGTGTCTCAGTTTCCTCATCTATAAAACGGTCATAATTGGTACCAACCTCATAGGATTGTTTTGAGGTGAGCTACTTTAAACAAAACTTGGTACATATTACCATTGACAAATGTTATCTTTTTTTTTTTTTTTTTATCCTTTAATAAACCTCTACTCTTAGAAAAATGCAACCAATGCAGAAAAACAGATTTCTGGAGCATTCAGTAGAAAACCCTACCCTTATCTACCATGCAGATTCTCAGCCTACACACAATGGGAGAGAAAACTGCCAAGCCAGTGTATTATAAATACAATTCTCTACAGCCATGCAGAGAACTCACATTTGACTTGAATGGTGCCAGGTCATATCATGGCCCCATCCAAGGCTACCTACTATGGTTGCTTTCAGGTCACCACATGAATTCTATGAAGGTATTATTTTCATAGAAAGGTATCGCCAGATTGGCCTACGCCTATTCCCCATGATGAGGAACAAATTCAGACACTATAACATTTCCATTAAGTTACTCATGAACTTTGAATCTTAAATAAATCAGGATTAGGCGATAGAAATAATGGTAGCTAACGTCTAGTCACTGCTTGCTAAGGCAAGTCTTGTTTTACATACTTTACAAGTACTCAATCCACAACTGAAACACAATTAAGTTAGGGAACTTTGCCAGGGACATACAGCTTGTATTGTAGATGGTCGGGCTGGAATTCAAACCCTGTGAGACTGGCACTGGCTCCAGAGCCAACACTCTTGGCCACTATACTATGCTGCCCCATTAGAAACATAATCCATAACTCTTGTGGATTAAAAATTAAGAGAATTGCATTGCACCATAATGTAGTAGTTTTGCTGCAGATCTTATAATACAGAAAACAATTATTAAATCACTATCAAAGAAAATTAATGATAAGAGATTGTTGCTGTTACTTACTCAGGCATGTAATGTTTCAAAAGTGATTAACCACTCTAATCCCAGCTTTCTGGTTTTAATAATCCCCATTTTTCTGGGTATGAAAGTTGTTATGAAAAATAAATGATTTATGAATTCGTGAAATGTGTAACACTATCCCTGGCATGGAGTAAGCATCCCATAAATGTTAGCAATGTCTTATCATTATTGTTTTTGTAATAATGGATTAGCAGAACTGAAAATAGTTCAAATATAAATTTCATTTAAAGCTGGTTTCTAATTCATACTTACAATGTAAGCTGTTACGACACAGTTTATACCTCATGAAAAACCCTATAGATGTATTTCATTCTTTTGATATACCATTCTGTAAATGAAAATACTACTTTAATAAATATATATAAAATAACATGAAAGAAATCATCATATTTGGTATTCATGTGACAAAGGATATGTATAATATTTTTTTTAAAAAAAAAACCCCAAACTAAAAACTTCTTTCAGTATTCTGTTCAACTAGGCCACTGAAATCCATGTAGTAGAAGACAACAGAATCTTTTTTTTAGCACACATTTTTTAAAAATGTGGGTATAAAAACATAAGTTCAGTGTGAACGCTGCTGGAGGGAAACAGAAGCAAAACGCACAACAATGAAGTTAAACTGCTCATGAATGTTCACACTGGATTCTGTCCCAAAGTCTTAAACACTAATCCAGCTTCGGCAAAGTTCAAAATGTGTTTTATTCAAATAGGGAGTCAGAGTACCTATGATTAAAAATGCCTCATTTTTTCAGAGTAAGAAAATAGATGCTATTCTAGAAGTATTGGTGATAGGGAGTTTTAGCTGGGGCATTGAAAACCTTTATCTTAGGCCCACAGTTTACAGATCCGAGTGCAGCTTTTATACACATGTGGCTTTATCTCTAAGTCCTGGAAAATAATACAAATGAAAATATGTGCCTGTCTGAGTTTGTGAAATAAAAACATTAGCTAAAATATAGTTTGTTAATGAAGGGCCTTCTGGTATCCCTTTTTATTCCCTTTATTTAGGAGAAAGATACCTAAATAGTCACACATTCTTTTTCCTCAGGCTATCTTCCTCTGCAGTGTTAAGCCAAGTTGTTTATGATAACACCCACTATAGTAATGAAAAACAAACCAAATTTTTGATTCCATCTTTAAATACTAAAAGATCTGAAGTGATATATTTTTAAATGATAATAACAATGATAAAGTTTCAAGTGGTCCTTACTAAATTCTAAGTGCTTTACAAATGTTAACTCATTTAATCCCCACCACCCTATGAGATAAGTGACCGAAACAGGCCAAGAGATTAGGTATCAGGCCCAAGATTATACTACTGATGACTGGATTTGAGGCCAGGCAGTCCAGACCAAATGAACTCCAGTCTCTGAGTGTGAGTCTGGAGAATCAGATCGTTTTCAAAAACTCCCAGAGATTTTAATGAGCAGCCAGGGCTGAGAACCATTCATTAGCAAGTATTAGAACCATCTGGAAGGCTTATTAAACCACAGGTTGCTTGGCTCCGCCCCAGAGTTTCTGACTGTATGGTTTCCAGGGGATGCCAAAACAGTCAGTCTGGGGACCACCCCTTAAAGAACCACATACATAGGACACTTAAGACTCTGACTCCTAGTGCCTAGCTTTTTAAATTATACCATAGTACCTCCTTGCATGTGAAGAGAGAAACTATTGGCATCAAGAATGAAGTCTACTTTGCAGTGAAGAGGAATTTTCCACTCAAATGGTTAACTTTGTAATCAGCTCTCTGTTCTGCTTCTGTAGACATGCCTGCCACATAAGCTGAAGGACAGGGTGACCTCAAGATCAATTGAAGACTCACCCTCCCCTTTGCTTGTTCTGACTAGATAACAGATATATTGCCTGTCTGAAAATCTTATGCTCTGTAACTGCCTGTAGCCATAGCAACTTCCTCGCTCTGTAACCACCTGAGGACAAATTAACCAATCAGCCCATGCTAACTGTAACTGCATGGATACGTCCTATAAAAGTAAGGTTACCCTCGAGCTTGGGGCCCAGGTCTTCAGAGCGCTAGCTTTTCTGGGACTGCTGGCATAATAAACCTGGGTTCTCCAACTCTCCGAGTGGTGCTTGGTTTCTCGCCGGTCTGATTTTTCTGCAAAGGTAGTGCTTTATTCTTGCCTAATTGACCAACTGTCATTGTTGACATAGGCAATTGTACAATATATAAATAAAGAACTTCAGAACTTTGTTTTGAGGCCTCAGGCATTTCTTATGGAGAACAGGATTAATACCTATCTCACTGTTGTGATGATGTAATAATAAAATAATGCATGTAAGTATGTCTAATACCATTGCTTGGCACAAAAATGGTATCTAATTAATCTCATGGTTTTTTAACAAAAATATATTTTTAACAATTACAGCTTATTACTGTCTTCGAGTCATATATTTTATCAGAAAAAAAGCTAAGGTATACTTACCATGGAATTATCTTTTTCAGATTTATATGTTTTTATATCTGGAATGTTTTTCTCAAAAAATGCCAGAAGCCATCTTTTGGATTTTGACCAGTTTCTAATGGAGAGAAAAATATGTGTATATATTAATTTGAAAGTACTTTGGGAATAACAGGTAACACTATAAAGAGGAAATGTCTATGGAATTATAATCATTTCTCCTGTTGTAGCCGCCAGCCCCCGAAAGACACACGGACCACCAGAAATCAGTGAGTTATAGGAAATGCACTCTTTATTCAGCCAGCTGGGTCTGCCAGGGGTACACAGACCCCAAATTAAGCAGCCCCGAAATGTAGAGGTATAGGGTTTTTAAGCCCTAAATTCCATTCCTCATTCTGTCTGAACACAAAAGTCTATTTTTCTACTATTTACTGTCAACCCACAGGTAGGCTGTACAAGCGGAGGTACAGAAGCAGAAAGCTTATTGTTAGAATGTTGTTTCCATAGGTGATAACCTATGTTCCCATGGGCGATAGCCTATGTTCCCATGGGCGACAGCCAAGCAGTAATTTTCCAGCCAGCACACTCCAAGTTTCTTTTTCATTTTCAGCTAGAATTTCATAAGACCTCTACCTTCACTTATTAGTTCACAGGAAAATGGTGAGGGGGCAAGGCAGTCATACACACTTTAGTGTCTTTTGCTGATGAATGTTTGAATTCTTATAGGATTGGCACTGAATAAGAAAAGAGGGCCCACAATCTCTTGGTCTACTTTTACTCTGGCTGGTTGTCAGTTACAGAAGGATGAAAAACTAGCATGGGACCCACTGCTGGGTTAAGCCAAGTAAACCAAACTGGCTATTATCTTTTTAATCTTCTCGACCATTAACCATGTAGACCAACGGCCAAGAAATCAAAAAATCATGAGTTACTCTGCATTCAAGCCATTTTGTAAACAATTATCTGAGCTAACTTTGAGAAATGCATTTGACCACACCCACTTTTGTCTCAGAGAGAATTAGGACATCTGATTCTGAGACTAGCCACACTTGATTTAACACAGATCAAACCGTAGCAATGAATGTGACAAGTATGTAAATGGGATAAAAGGCCTCAAAATAAATTCATTTCATTCTCATATTTATGTTTTCTCCCCCCTGCACCCTCTCGTTTTTGCTCCTCGAATTTTTTTTTACAAAAAGGAAAACATGCATATCTCTTCTCCTGTTCCTCCCTCAATTAACACACACACCAAAAACAAACTGTTCATAAGGAACAGTTCTCTCTCTTTACTTAAACTGCTGTTATATCTACTTAGAATAGAGAAATGAGAGATGTATGAATTGCTGAGAGGAGCTTGGTCAATGAATTAATTCAGGAAACAACTACCTTAGGAGACATTCTGGCACCTGGGACCCATGCTCAAAACCTTCATCATAAGCTCGAAAATACTGATGGAACTCCATGATTTTCTTCTTGTTTGTGGGAAACAAACCTTTTTTAAAGAGCATATTCACACTGACTGGATAAAGGAGATGCCTACAAAGAGAGATACACATAAAAAGTCAGACCAAATGCTCAAAGAAGAATATAAAATCAGGATACAAGAGAAAGCATTTTTTAATAGCTATTTTTAAGGGGTAGATAACAGCACATGATAAAATCTTTTGGGAGAAGTCACTCTTAAGAGGTTTCAATATTTGCCTATTCTCAAAATGACTAAGGGGTAACTGAAATTATAGTATTTATCAAGTTTTACTGTAAGTGAATAAAATGATTACTGTGGCATACTTAAGTTAAAAAAAATCAATGATTGTTAATATACCCTAGATTAGTAACACCGAATACTGTTATTTCATTTTTATTTGCCATCCCTTTCTCTCCAGAAAATTTTTAGGATCTTCTTTCCTCCAAATTTCAAAAATATCTGAGAATTTTCTGCTTTGTTGTAGATTCTGGGCAAGCTAAGAGTTTGGCTGATTGGTTGTCTTTGTTCTTTTTTCTCTTTTTGGATCGCTAACGAAATATTAAATGTTGTTCTGTTTTATGAATCTAAACTGTCAAATCCTGCCTTCAGCACCCCAGTATCCCACTGAGATGGAAAAGTGCCTAAGGTAACTTCAATTTCCCACATCTCCTTATGCATGTGAGGAATTTTTCTCATGGCTCCCATGCCCAGGCCTTACCTTTGCCAGGAACCTTCATAACATGGCTTACATGTGCTACCTGGCTCCCTCTGCCACCCTTTCCTATCTCATCTGTCTCTCATCTCAGTACCTCCCCTCTAGGAGGACTCTGCGCTGAGGGCCACACTGATTTTGTCTCAGCCAACCTTTCGTGTCTCACAAATATCTCCTGGATGCTTGTCATCTACTTGTTGATTATATCCTTTCCCTTGTTCTCTCAATATCCACTTGGAATAATCACAAATTGCACTGAATGTCTTATCAAAATTCTGATGGATGCATGACAATTCTAAGATGTACATCTATATATATTCACAATCGTATGAATGACTAGGAAAAAATGGCTGTAAATGTATTAAAATGTATTGGTTTATTTGTTCACCATAAAATTATAGAGCTAAACTGAAACCTGACCATTAATTAGAATTTAAAATATTAACATACTCTCTCAATTACCTAGTTAGGTAGACTTCATTAACCGAACATATAATTTTTGAAATCCAATGTATAGGCTTCAACATTTTTTATTCCAAAAGAGCAAGATGAAATAATAGTAATGTATCTATTTACCTTACTAGGTTGTTCAGGTCTATTGTCCCATGAGTGCCTAAATTCTCCAGTTGTTCATGTAATTCTTCGGTTAGTTGTCCAGCGAATTGACATAGGTTGAAAGTCCCTAGTTTCCCTTTCATCACAATATAAAGTTTCTCATGTAGTGCAAAAAAGATATTCTTTGGGATTGATGCTATAAACAGAGAAAACCATTTTCAAAAGAAGCAATGATTCTTTGAAGCAAATAATGAAGCAACATACTTTTCTACTACTTTTTGGTTAGTAGGGAATACAGCTAAAGTTCATCAGATATATAAAATAACCTTCTGTGAATAAAACTAGATGAATATTCAACGTATGCTGTGAGATAGTAAAAGTCTGTAGGGTAATTTAAAGGATGATCTATAAGGCCTCTGGGAAACACAAATCTAGAGATCTTATTTCCATATTTAAAACCTTTCATTGGCTTCCTATCCTTAACAAAGTTTACAAGGCTTTCTACCAACTTCCTATCTCTCTAATGATATTTCCAGCTCTCCCAACCTCTAAATGTATATTTCAGGTATGTTGAAAACAGATACTTCTATATTTCCCAGTATTTTTATGAGCTGTTCTATCTGCTCAGAACATTCTTTGTTTGACTAATCTTACCCCACCCCATACACGCACACTTACAAGCCCTAAATGTCTCCTGCTAATTTCTACTTCTTCTTCAAGCATCTTCTTGGCTATTACTTCCACCAGGAGGCATTTCCTCATAGCATCAACCCCACTATTTTTTTTATATTAGTATTCATGATTCTTCCCTTTCGCAATACACACTCCTGGTTGTGTTGGGGTAGTGAAAGTATAAGTATTTTTTACTCATTCTTCCTTTACATTCCTCTTTAATCCTGTTTAATTTCTTCAAGGTGATTTCAAAAAATAATTTTAAAATTTTCTATTTCATCATCTTTTTATGTATAGGTTACATTTTATGTAGGTTCATTAATAATTTTTAGATACTCTGGAGCATTTATCCTCTCTGTATCAGGGGACTATATGAGAAGAATGAGAAGCTGTCTCAAGAGTAAATATTAACATATTTTTTTGTTGTTGTTAAATAGAAATATTTAAACATGAAAATCCCCAGGGGAAGGACAAGTATAAACACTGATAAATTCCACACACCTGACAGGTCAGTAAGTTGGTATACTTTTCTGAAGGGATATGTAGCCTTACAGATCAAGAGGCTTCAAAATATTTACATTCTTTTACCTGGAATTCCACAGTCCAAATATCAAGAAGTACTAAATAGTGAAAAATTTAACCCACATGTTGTGATTTTCATGCAAGCAAGAAGAAAATATAATCATGCTATTGATCACTTATAGCTTTTGAAATGTTTTTTGTCTTAATGTCAAAAAAATGCATGAGTCTATATGAAAAGAAACCTAAGAAAGCAGCAAAGAGAAGCAGCAAAGGGAAGCAAAGAGAAAAAAGCCACAGACAGTAGAAGCAAGCACAGATATTGTGAAAACAGAAAAAAAAACAGGCTCAAAAGGAAGCAGCTCTGTATTCTTACAAGGACAAATGGCCTCAGCACGCATATTTGTGGCCTGGGAAGAAATAGAAGCAGATAGTCACACTGGAAGCATGCTGACCAGTATAATCTGACAGCCTCTGAGGAAAGAGAATTGGCGAAAGGGCACTCACTTACCTTGATAGCCCTATGGAATATGTCAGGAAATGTCAATCGTAAAGGGCTTACTAAGCAGTGGAATTCTACTTTCAGGGAGCAGAGTAGCAACATGTGATCAAGCCAAGAGCTACAGCCTGTAGAACATTGTATACACAGTAGCAGAACAGTTAGTGGCGTCTTGGGAGCTGTAACAATACAGGTTCCAAATATTTCCCACAGAAAACTTCAGTGAGGTAACCTCATCTCTTACATGTCTAATTAAGGTCTAAATGTATTAGGCTGCCAATATTTTGACTTTCAGTGACTGAACTCATATACTCTTTTCTTCGTCTACTCCTAAAGAATAAAATAATGGGGACTTACCATTTTTGATAAAAGAGTGAGAATATAATTGTTACTTAAAACTAGTCTTGGATTCTAATGTTGTATTTCAAATGAACTATCTGAAAATATTCTTTACCTGTACGATAGATGGGATTTTGCACTGCCAGTTCAAAATTTACTTCTTTGGATTTTAGAAACACATTAATTCCCTCTTCTTCAGTAACAAAGGTCATTCGGGTTCCCATAGCAAAGACTGTAAATATCGGTCCATACTGAAAAAAACACATAAATACAGGTCATATAATTAAGCAATTCTGATAAGTTACAGGACCATGGGTTATGTTTAAGGCAGTGTTTCTCAAGAATCTCAATGCTGAAGTCATAAGTAAGAAAAACATTATCATTATGTATAGTAATTAATTCTAAATTTTGACTGATTTAGCCAACTATAAATTATGTAAATCCTAATTTATTCTGGCCTAATACTTAACCTTCCTTTTGATTGTGTTATTATTTACTTGTATCCTCTTTTCTCGTAATATGAATAATAATTAGAAATTATGTCAAACTGTGATATTTGAACATTGTTTTCAAGATTTAGTAGATTACAAGCAACCTATAGCTCAACTTTGTTCAAGAAAAAGATACAAAATTGCTGACTGCTTTTACCATAAATCAGTGGTCACTCAACAATGTCTTGCAATCCTAAAAAGTTCTCTAATGTGCTTACCTTCTCATTTTCCAAAATGACTATTTCACCTGTATAACTTGCCTAACTCTCTCCACTGTGAGATAGTGTTTCTGGTTTATAGCTCACTGGGAAAATGGAAGCAATCAAGTAAGAGCACTCTCAACTTCTCACCACCAAATCTTGCAAGGTACACACATTTATACCCATTCTCCATGCTACCTCTCTGGTTAACAGGTGGAGGGTCCTGTCCTGTGCAATGCCAACAGTCCTTTACTTGCGTTACAGATTCCACACTCTCTTACCTTCTCTTTGTTCTACATTTATGCCTCTTTCTCCTACATCATCAGTTTTGCCCTGTCTGTTAAATCACTCTTAGTTGCCTATAAACATAGTCTAGTAAGGGGCTTGATTTCAGGGAGTCCATGACTTCGTTGGGGTAAAAATAAATCATCATTTTCACTGACCTCTAATTGTAATTTAGCATTTTATTCTATTATGAATATAGACAATTCACCACAATCTCATCCATGAATCAATCATCAAAATAACCCATTATTCGAATCAACTATATTTTCTTAGATTCTGTGTCTATTGGCATCCATTCATCACAGAGCCAACTATATATTAGCTGTATTTTCTTTTTTGTTGATACTTTGGCGTTGACTGCCTCACTACCAGGGCTAGCCAATTATTAAAGACAGCAAAGGGCTCAACTAGCCAAGAGCATACCTTTCATAGGCAAAACAACCAATTTACCCCCAACTACCTCCTTATCTAAGTCTCAAATACCAAGCCAATATTTCTGTGGCCCTAAATCATCCCAGGGCCATATATCAGGCAATGAGAGACCATCCATATGGCCCAAAGCCCTCAGGAATTATTCAAACTAGCCAATCCTAAATTGTTTACTTTGCCCTCTCTTGCCTTTCTTAAGGAAACCCCAATAAGGGTTCTGACCTAGGCTTTTTCCTATCTTCTGATTCCTGACTGACACTGGCACTTTCTTCTGTGGCCTTGCATGGCATGCAGTGACCCCCTCAGACCTATGAGATTACTAAACTTCTTCCTTCCATGCTTCATTTTCATTTCCTCTGTGGCCACAGTGACTTTACCATACCACATCCAAGATATACATTCTTAGAATGATGACCTGTGTTTTTATATCCCATTACAGCCATTATAATTACCTCCAAATATCATTTACACTCATCGCTAATTCACTATTACAATAATTTCTAGGCCTGCCATGAAATGGCACAAGATCATTCCCATGACACACATTTGGGCACTATCAGGCAACTGTGGGCTCAATAATCACTGGGCCACCAAATAGTGAAGTCTCACTTTCTTTCACTAGTGATCCAGACATTTACAGTGCTTTCCAATATTCCTTCTCTACAATTGTTTGCCAATACTTAGAAAAAGATGAGTAATTTTCATCGTTCGTTAAAGTTTTGCCCAAATGAGAATTCTTACCTTTCCATGAGGAAAGTGTCCTTTTGTAACACATATAGGCACTCAGGCCACAGTGTACAACAGCCAAGTTCAAACCTACTGAATGATTGAGATAACTGCTGACAAGTGGTATTTAAAGTAATTTATTGCAAGATGACTGCACAGTGCGAATGACCGTGTGAAGTGCTATAAATTCTTTAACAATGAGTTTTTTGTTTTATTTGCTTTCCTTTTGTTCTCATTTTTTGCGCAATGTTAGCACTGAGTGTTATGATGTAAAGGCAAGCATGTGCAATATGTTGTAGAAGTGGTGCTTGTATTTTTTCCTTAAGCTTTTTATTTTGAGATAATTGTAGACTAACATGCAATTCTAAGAACTAATGCAGAGAGATCCCATGTACCCATTACTCTGTTCCCTCTAGTGTTAACACCTTGCAAAGCTATAGTTCATCATCATAATTAAGTTATTGACACTGATACAGTAAAGATACAGAACACTTCCATTACCACAAAGATACCACATATTTCCCTTTGATAGTCACAACCATTTCATTCTCACCCCCACCTCTTCCTTAACCCTCGTCAACTACTAATTTCTTCAATTACTATGATATTGAATTTCAAGAATATTGTATAAATAGAATCATATAGTATGGAAACCTTTGGGGTTGGCTTTTTTTCTCACGACATTATTCACTTGAGATCCATTCAGGCTGTCATATGTATGAACAGTTCATTCCTTTATATTCTGAGTAGTATTTCATGGTGGGGGTGAACCATAGTCTGTTTAAACACTGTTGAAGAACATTGGTATTCTTTTGTTTCAGGCTATTACACATAAAGTTTCTGTAAACATTCATGTGTGGGTTTTTATGTGAACATAAGTTTTCATTTGTCTAGTGTAAGTGCCCAAAAGTATAATTGCTGGGTCATATGAACCACTATTTCCATCAACAATTTTATCATTTTACATTTCACATTTCCATTAGCAATATGTGAATGATTTGGTTTCTCTGTATCCTTAACTAGCATTTGGGTACTGTCGCTATTTTTTACTTAGCCATTTTGATAAGTGTGTAGTGACTTTTATTTGTGGTTTTTATTCGACCATCCCTAATTGTAAATGATGTTAAACATTTTTTCATGTGTTCATTTACCAAGATATGAGGAGCTAGGCAATCTGCTACACTCAAAAGAAAAAGTGTTTATTGTTAAGTCCTTTTGCAAGGGTAACACAATAATATAAACAATTTAAATGTTCGTGTTCTCTGGACACTTCCACTTTTCGGAATTTACTCTGAGGAAACAATTAGATAAGTGCAAAAAGCACAACCACACAGTACATACACATACACACAAGAATGTTCATTGAAGCATTGGTTGCAATAAAGGAAAAAATTTGGCAGTATCCTCTATACTATTTTTGCAAGATATATTATATTTTAAAAATACTTTAAGGACAAAAACATCTACTACGACTATTAATCTCCTCAGTGTGCAGTGAAAATGGATTTCATCACCATTAAATAACACCAGCTGAAATTACAGTGCCAGCTAAATTTGTAAAGACCAAGTTTGTAAGCAGTTTTTACAACTACCTGGTGATAACAATGACTTGGATAAGAATTTATTGCACAGCTTCATAAACTGAAATTAACTGCATTATATTTCTTTCCCAATTATTGCAAGCATTTAGTTAATATGTATACACAGGATTTTTTAACCATGATGAAGTAACTAAGCACTTATAATCTTTGCTTCCAGATAGCCAGTTAGTTGCAAGCTGCTTTATATTTCATAACTGATAAAAATCTATCTCTTGAAAAACCTTGCATAAGATATAGTTGTTGACTGTTAGTTGAGAAATTCATACAAGGACAAGATCGTTTAGTTGAGGCAGCAAGTATGTTCCCTGTGTTCTAACATTACACTCAAGATCCGATGAAAGAAAATAAAGGAAACATTACCTTCTTCGGAAACCCCACAAGCTAAGGCCACATACCTTGATTCTTGCTTTCTCTATAAATTCTAGAGGGGCTTTCCCAAACTCAAATCCAGCTCCAATCCAAGGAATCCAGCCCCTTATGCACGGGGGCTCACGCAAGTTCTTCCACTGAAGTAATAACAAAAGAGCAACGCAACCTAAGATTATAATCACTGTTGGGAATATTAGTTCCATGTTTTTGTCCAGCGTCTTGGAGAATCAGAGAAGGAAAGTCCTGCTGCTACATGTAGCACTTGTTCCTTCCCACTGGAATAGGGAGCAATCACCGGACCTCTCAACCTTTCTGCGGCAACTTTCGTAGCTTCCTCGGCCTTCTAATTGCAGTCTCCTTTATCCGCCCCAATTTTTAGGTGACTTTTGCAGCATCGCTCCCTCCCACCGCCAATTCTCTTTCAAGTCTTGGCCTACCGGAACGGAATGCTGGGGCTGGAGGTAGTGCGAGAGTGAGGAGGGGCGAAGGTGGAAAGGGCTCGCGCTGTTGCCATGAAGGCTGAGAGCGGTGGCTCTGGGAGCGCCTCGCTCGCAGCCAATCAGAGAACGTGATCCGAGAGGCGCGGAGCACGAAGGACTACATTTCCCAGAATTCTCGTGGGCTCGCGTTGTTTTTCTGCCCTCAGTCCGCAGACCCTCTCAAGCGTGAGGCTACTAGGAAGGCTGCGGGTTCGCAGGCCCGCCTGGCCGAGCCGAGGGAAGGACATGGTGTCCGCCGCGCCATTCGTCGGTTGAAGAGGGGCCGCCCTGGCAGGGTGGCAGGCCAGCCGCGGCGCGAGGCGCCGGCCAGAAGGGTTGCATTGTCGTCCTGTCCTGTTGCTGAATGTCGGTCCCAGAGGATGAAGAGAGGCTTTTGCCGCTCGTCCAGAGATGGCCCCGAGCGAGCAAGTTCCTACTGTCCGGTTGCGCGGCTACGGTGGCGGAGCTAGGTATCCAAGCGCCCACCCCTGGGCCTCTCCGGCGAGTGGCTGAGGCGCCGCGCCGGGTGGTGGTTGCGGGGGCGGGGAGTAGTCGTGCGGGAGGGACCCGCAGATGGCTAGGTTCCCCGGTGTGTGCGCACGCGAGGTTGTGCCCTCTTTTCCACACATGTCCGGCGGATGTGGGAGCGACCTGGCAAGGCCAGGTTCGTGAGGAGGAGGGATTGGAGGTCACTAAGGTCTTTGCCTTCCAATTTCTTCTTCAGAGGTGTGCCATTGTGCCTGAACGTGTACTTTTAGAAGCTTCATAAGCTGCCATTCCTCAGTGGGAACAATTTTTTCTTTAGTGAGGATGCTGTTTTTAAAAACTCAGTCCACGTTTCATCTTTATTGCAATAATCTCTGTGATTTATATTCTTACAGAGCCTCACTATATCATTGTCTTTAGGGTCCAAATTGTGGACCCAACTTGTGGGACCCATCGTTTATTGAACATCTACTCAGCATCTTCCAGCTGACCTCTTTGAGCTTAATTCGTCTATACTGTATTTACCTTGCAAGATTATGAGCAGTCGATAATACATAAATGCTAACTCCAAGGCAGGGCAACCATTAATTGTGACATTATTATGACTGCTGGAGATATAGTTTAAAGACCCAGCCCTGACCTTCTTACAGGCTGGGAAATTGCAGAGACAGACATTTACATTGTGCTTATTATAATGGAGGTATTATTAAGTATCTTAAGAATATAGAGAGGGACAGTTACATCTCCATGAGCAAGTCAGACAAAACGTTAAGAGGATGATAATGACCTTGCATGAGCAGGTAGTGTTTCTTCCAAGGGTTTTGTGAGTAGAGTGCCTATGCATTCCTTGGGAAGCCTTCACTGTGCATTTGAAGATTACCCTTTCATTTTCTTGTCCACTTAAAACAAACAGCAACAGCTCTGATGTGTTATTTATAAATGTTTGTCCTCTTCTAAAATGAATTTATTTTGTATTTCCAGCAGAGCCCGCTTATGATCTGTTATTTTGCCCTTTGTGCTCCTCCATTCTTGCCCTTTGGACCCTCTGATTTTTTTCTTTCTCTCTCCTCCCAAATCTGAGAATTTTTTTATTCATTGTTTTTACTAAAATACAATTGACCAACTTAAAAAAAAAAAAACAGATTGCTGAATGATTAGGTATATTTCCAGTTTTGTTTTTTAAACCTTGATGTTTCCCCCTGTGACCAATGGCTTTTGTAAAGGAAAATTTCTTCTGTTAAAAATTTGTAGAGAATTGTGTGGGAGCTGTGATTCGAAGTGGGGGAATCAGAATATGAGATGATTTTGAGTGCAAAACAAGTTAGGATCAGAACCTGAAGCATTATTTAAGTAACTAGCAAGAAAACCCAAATTATTTCAAGAGGCATAACCTGTGCTAATATAGAGACTTTTATATCTTATGACTTTAGGTTTCATATTTCAATAAAGCATTGCTTGAATTCTCTGTATGTAAACTACTTCTGTTTTAGGGAAACTATCAGCAAGATATTTACATTTACAAAGACCTGTGGTAAGATTTACCGTTCTCTTCCAGTCACTCTGTTTTCTCTTGGAAAAAGGATAGCTATGGTTTTGTATGAGTTGGTAGTCATCGAAAAGACTTATGTAATGTCAATAATGGTCATGAACTTATCTGAATCTGGTTATTTCAATTATTCGGGACATTGCGTGTATAAAGTTAGGAGCTTGATCTTCCTAATGTGGTCCTGTTTCAAGGTAAAAGGTCTATCTCTAAAATGTAAACATTAGAAAAAAATTTTCAAGTACAGTCGGTACTTGTAAAGAGGCCATGCATAAAACTTATCAGTGCAGGAAAAACAATATGTGCCTTAATTGAAAGAATTTGAGCATGCCACCCTTGTGTATAAACGATGACATTATAAACTCCATATAGCATTTTCTATATCTCAAACATCCGGTCAATGATTCATCTGCATGTGAACATCACCCATGAAACTATAGAATTCAGCTTCATCCAGCATTTATTAATAGCCTACCTAGTATAAATAACACAGTATTCTAAAAGTCACATTGGATCTTAATCATGGTTGCAGTTAAGAGGACACCACAGAATATGAATACCTGAAATTATTCCAATTAGAAAGAAGGCAAAAATTATGGACAAAAGTAGATTTTAGACTGAAATTTCTGAATAAAAAGAACCCCAAAGTTGTCACTTTTTCCCCCCTGGTGATCTAGGGGTACTCTGGGACAGTGATTAATGAATTTGGGAGTGCATAAGCATCAACTGATTTCTGACTCCCCCAAACCCCATCAACCTACTAAGAATCCATCGGCCATGGGGCTAGGAAATTAGCAGCTCTTGACAATATCCCTAACTGATTCTGATGTATTATAAAATTTGAGAACCACCAATCTTGTGGTGACTAAAATATTAGTCTTATGATTTTAGAATTTTAGAATTTTTGTTTCTCTGAATATTGTGGGTTTCCCCCTCGTTTTGTTTCTTTGTTGTTGTTGTTAGCAACTTTTCCCCTGGATCTCACAAAAACTCGACTCCAAATGCAAGGAGAAGCTGCCCTTGCACGATTGGGAGACAGTGCAAGAGAATCTGCTCCCTATAGGGGCATGGTGCGCACAGCCCTAGGGATTGTCCAAGAGGAAGGCTTTCTAAAGCTTTGGCAAGGAGTGACACCCGCCATTTACAGACACGTAGGTATTTATCTTGATTCTGGCTGGTAAGTTTGTTATGAGTTCTGAGTTTGTCTCCTCTGCTTTTCTGTTTAGCTATATCCAAAAACCAGTTAGTTTTTTCTACTAATATGATAAATGAATATATAGTTTCTTAAGAAGAAGAAAACTAACTACCAATTGTAATTAAGGAATTATTGCCTTAAATTTTTAGAAATGCATACAGAAGTATTTAGAAATGAACTGTCTTGATGTCTGTAATGTACTTTAAAATATTAAGCAAAAGCAATGAAGCAAATATGGCAAAAATGTTAGCAATTGATAAATATCAAGTATAGATATAGAGGCAGTTATATTATTTTCTCTACTTTTCTGTGTTTGAAATTTTTTCTAATGTTTTAAGTTTAATAAAGAAAAAAATGCCTGATATTTTTCTCCATTTCAAAAACTTTAAACATAAAATTTTAATTTTTTATTTTTTTTTGAAAATTAAAATACAATGCCAAATCTCACCAGTCTCTGTCTCATCCGTTAGAGACTAGGATACTCTGAAAGAGAACAGGGATGACTATCTAATGCAACTCTGGCGATAGAGTAAATGCAAAGCAGGTGATTTTTTTTGTTTCAGTTCCCCAGGATACCTAACTACCTTTGTAGGCCTTTGGTTACTCTTAAAGAAAAATAGTTGTAACTACACTACAGCAAATGAGAATACTTTTTTGCTCTGCTTCCCAAGTGGCACTCACAAAGATAAGAGTTGTTAAGTTTTCAGCCTGTGCATAGGAGAACATAAATTCGGCTTCAAATGGTAGGACAGGTGTGGCATTTTTCTCCTTTACATTCATAGTGTTTCCACAAATATGAAGGGATTCTTGGTCGGAAAACTTTCAAGTACTAATATTTACTGTCTTATTTTTAAAACTTCGGTTCTTTAGATGAAGTTAGAGTGTATTCATCAAGAACTGTCTAGAAGTATTGTTTTAGTACTCTGTGTTTTTGGATATCTTAAAATACTTCATCAAACTTCTTAAATATAAAGAAAACCTCTATATGAATATCATGTAGTTATTTTAATAATTTTTATTTCTCACCTTTTTAAAATATTTTCTTTCTAGTTTTACCATTAAGATTAATTTCATATGTTTGACATTTGACTGAAAAATTACCGTACTATAATAAATTATCCTATGAAGTTATACATATTTATTAAATGGAAATGCCTGCTATGAAGCTCTCTACTAAGGCATATGGAGTAATGAAAACCTACCTTGAAAAGCTCATGGTCTGATGGAAAGAAAGTCAAGTTAATCTCTAATTAATATGATAAATGCCATGTTAGATGTATGCCTAAGTAGTTCTCGTGCAAAGGAAAGGACAGAGAGCACTTCTTGGAAAAGTAGTTCTCTTAATTGAGTTTTGAAAGACTAGGAGGAGTTAGCAAAGCAGAGAAAGGAGAATCCATTCAAGAAAGATCAGACAGCATGTGAGAAGGCCTGTGGCTGAAAAAGGCATACCACATGCAGAGAAACATCAAGAAGTGCATGTGTCAGAAGCATAGGGTACATGAGAGAAAGACACAGCTAGAGAGATCGGGTAGGCCAGGTCAGAATACTCTCTCGTTTTATTAAACATAGCTGAGTTCACCTTTTCAATCCGTTTGACACAGTGTATTCTGGAGGTCGAATGGTCACATATGAACATCTTCGTGAAGTTGTGTTTGGCAAAAGTGAAGATAAGCATTATCCCCTTTGGTAAGTCTTATTTTGAAAATATATGCTATTTCCCCTAAGGCTTTAATGTTTATTCATGAGATTTGTATAAATTGTGCATTTATACCAAAATTGCCTCATGTTAAAGGCTTAAAATAATAAGTATTTACAATATAAATTCAAACGATCGAGCATTTACTGCACATATATACAAACATACATGTACATATATATATATAAATTGTCTATATATTATTAATATTTTAACATTAGGAGAATTCTTATAGAATTCTATATTCCTTTTTATACTGAGAAATCCTGGGCTTTAGAGTCATACGGAGATGGGCTCGAATCAAATTCCTGGTCTACTACTATGTAACCTAGGTAAACCACTTCACCTTTTATATCTTTAGTTTTCTCAGATGTAGAAGTAATACCTACCATCAGGTATCTCTTTTTGTAGGATTAGATGCGATGATGAGTGTAAAGTGTGTATCACTTACAACATTTATATCAGAAACAGACAAAGAGGTTATATAAATAATGTAAATCTTTATTAGAGCTACATAGAACTGTAAATCAATAAAAACATATAAAGAACACAAAGGAAGTTCACAAAAGAAGAAATACAAATGTTCATTAAACATGTAAATCTTCAAACTCTCCAGTAATCATGGAAATTAATTAAAACTATTAACTATTAAACTGTTAATGGGAATGTAAGTTACTATAGCCTTTTGAAGCATAAAGTACTTATTAATTTTTTTTTTTTTTTTTGCCTACAGCATCTGGTATTCATAAGTGGTCTCCCATCCAAGAACTAACCAGGCCCAACCCTGCTTAGCTTCCGAGATCAGACGAGATCGGGCGTGTTCAGGGTGGCATGGCCGTAGACTTAAATACTCTGAAAGAGAACAGGGATGACTATCTAATGCATCTGGTATTCATAAGTGGTCTCCCATCCAAGAACTAACCAGGCCCAACCCTGCTTAGCTTCCGAGATCAGACGAGATCGGGCGTGTTCAGGGTGGCATGGCCGTAGACTTAAAATTTTTAAATTTGTAATTCTTTGACCCAGCAACTCTTTCTTTATGATTATAATTCAGAAATACTTGTACCTGGGCATAAAGCCATTTACATATACACAGATATTGAGTATAGCAGTGTTGGTAATAACAAATTTTTAAAAATTTACTAATAATTTGAAAGTAGTTAGATAAATTACGACATATACAGAGAAACAACACAGCTTTGCTAGAATAAGGAAAGTTTTATATGACTAACATATAAAGATATCTATAATATATTTTCTGGGCTAAAAAAATCCAAGTCACAATGATAAGGGCAATAAGCAAAATTTCACCTTCCAGGCAAAATCTCTTGGCCTTGTTTTTGAAAAATAGTAGTGTACTAAGCTATACAAATTGCTTTTCCAGAGTTAATGATGGAATATATTGCATTTTGTAATTCCCTCCAGAAAGGAAAGGATTAAGTAGTTCAAAGAAAATATTTTACTATGAAGTCAACTCTCATGGTATCTATCAGTTCATAGAGAGCTGCCTCGTTTAAAAAAAATCTCATGGTATCTTTTGACCCATTCAGAACAATTCATTCTGTCAGTAGGTATTTTTTGAATGATTATGGTATGGCAGTCTTATACTTAATATGGAGGCTGGAGTAATGAAAGACATATCCCTGCCATCATTGATCTCACAGTAATAGAGACAGATTCCTAAAGAATTAGAATTATGTAGCAATTACAGAGGAGATAGTGGTTATGCGATTCGCAAAGAGAAAAAAGCAATGACAACATACTGTGCTCATTACTGTGAAGAGAAACGGCATTCTCACAGGTTGTAAGAGTGTAGATTAATACAAGTTCCGTGGAAGGCAGTTTGATAGGGCCTAGCAATGTCATGTAAATCTTCAAATTTCTTGGCGAAAAGTTATGCTGGGCCTATGAATTATGGTGTATCCATAAAATTGAATGCTTTTAAACTATTTTTTTTTTAAATGAGGCAGCTCTCTATGAACTGATAGAGATAGCCTTCAAGATATACTCTTAGGAAAAAAATCAGAGTGCAAGACAGTATACGACCTGGCATTGTACATGTATACTTTTAAAAAGGAATATCTATACATGTATGTTTGTGTGCACAAACTGTCAGTTGTAACTTAGTGTTAAGACTTTGGGCTCTGCACTCAGGTAGCCTGGAATTACATCTTGGTTGTACCACTAAATTGTGTGATTGGAGCTGTTGTTTAACCACTGTATGCCCATTTCCTCATCTGTAAAGAGGAAATACAGTAGTAGTAATGTCATAGGGTTCATATGAGAAATAGATGAGGTTTTTAAAAATGCTTAGAACACTGCCTGACATAATAAGCATTCATTAAATGCATCCTTGTTATCTCTAGAAAGGCCTTAGAAACTAGTAATTGTGACTGCCTCAGAGGAAGAGGAAGGGAACTGGGGATAGGGACCTTTTTTTACTCTAAACCCATTTGAACCTCTTCAAATATTGTTTTGGAGTAAAAGGGAAAAAAAATGTCCTTTTCTCTCCAAGAGACTATTGCAGTAATCTCGATAAAAGATAATTGGGGCCTGAAATGGAGAGAAGAAGGGAGATTCAAAGCCTGTTCAAGTATAATAGTCTAGGCTTGATCACTG